CCCCGCCCTCTTTACAGATCACCCAATCACCAGCCCCCGGGCCTGGACTTCCTTTCCTGGGAGGCGTGGTCGGGTTGCGGTCCTAGGCCGCCGAGAGCGGCGGGACTTGTGTTTGACCCAGCTTGTTGCTGTTGGTTTAAGTTCCCTAGGTAGCGTGGGGGCCTCTAAAAGTTTTAATTTTATTTTTAAATTGAGGTATAATTCACACAGCATAAAAGTCACTCTTTTAAAATATATATTCACGGAGCTGTGCAACCATCCACGCTCTTCTAGAATATTTTTGTCACCGCATAAAGAAACCAGTACCCATCAGCCGGCCTCCTCGTCTCAAGCCCTGGCTGCAACTAGTCTACCTTCTTTTTATATACATTTGCCTGATCTGGACATGTGATATAAATGGAATCATGTGCTCTCTGTATAACTGACTTCTTCCGCTTAGCACAATGTTTCCAAGATTCATCTTTATGTTGTAGTACATACCAGTATTTCATGCCTCTTTACAGATGAGTAATATTCCACTGTATGAATATACCTTACTTTGTTTATCCATTCATCTGTTGATGGACACTTCCGTTTCCACATTTTCACTATTATGAGTAATGTGAACATTTCCACACTGGGTGGAGGGTGGGAAAGCAGGATTCGCACCCCAAACTATGCCTTTTGAGATATTGATCATTTTAAACTGGTTATTTTCAAGAAACAGAAGACTCAGAAAGAACCTTTAACCTCCCCCCTAACTGCCCCTAAAAAATTGTTGAGAGAACCTGCTCCAGAAAGGGACCTAGTATCATATATAACTATAGTTTAATATGAATTAAGTGTGACAGACAGGAAGGAACCTATCAAGGCTCTCTAATCAAATTCCTTTCTCTGTCCCATTGTTAAAGATGTCTCAGCAAACATTTATTTACCAAATATTTGCTTTTTGCATCAACATGTGAATTGCCTTCCTGTCCTTTGTAGTTTATGTTCTCTTCTCCTTTTCTAAATTTCCAACTTTATTCTAGTAAGCAAATACTTATATTATTTTTTAACTTTTGTTTTTTTAAAAAAAGAAGCAAGATAGAATAGTGACTAAAAAGCTCATATTTTGGAGGTGACAGTCTGGGCTGAACCCTGCTAGTACTAGTTAATAACCATGTGATCTTATGCTTCAGTTTCCTCATCAGTAAAACTGGGGGCAAACTCATAGGGTTGTGAGGATTAAATGAAAGGGAAAGAATTCAGTTCTTAGAACATAGATACACTCAATCAACATTTGCTATTTAAAAGGGAAGAAAATTTTTAATTGATTGTTTTAAATGTTTGCATTGATTTTTTAAATTTTATTTATTTATTTAAATCCTCACCTGAGGTTATTTTCCCCATTGATTTCTTTAGAGAGAATGGAGGGGAGGGAAGAGCAGGTGGAGAGAGAGAGAGAGATAGCAATGTGAGAGAAACACATCAATTGGTCACCTCCTGTTGGAACCTCGATCAGATGTGGATCAAGCCTTCAACGAGGTATGTGCCCTTGACCAGGAATTGAACCCTAGTCCCTTCCATCCACGGGCCGACGCTCTAACCACTGAACAAAATTGGCCAGGGATTATTGATTTTTAGAGAGAAAGGAAGGGAGTGGGATAGAGAGATAGAAACATCGATGATAGAGAAGCATCATTATGGGCTGCCTTCTGCACGACCCCGACTGGGGATGGAGCCCTCAACTTGGGCATGTGTCCTGACCAGGAATTGAACCAGTGACCTCTTGGTTCCTGGGTTGAAGCTCAACACTGAGCCACACCAGCTGGGCTAATTGATTTTTTCAAGAGAGAGGAAGGGAGAGGGAAAGAAAGAAACATTGAGGGGATCAAGCCCATAAGCCAGGCATGTGCCCTGCCAGGAATTGAACCAGCAACCTTTCAGTGCATAAGACAAGCACCCAAAGGAAGTGAGCCACATCGGCCAGGGGTTGACATGTCTTATCAACCCTATTAGCTGGCCAGCTTCCTGAGAGCAAATCCCGACTGTTTATCGTTGTGCAGTTTCCAGGTGCCTACTGTGGGGCCTTGTATCAGGGTATATATTCAGCAAATGTTTGCTCACTGAATGCAATTGCATATTTGGCTAAATATTATTTTAGAACAATTGTTTTAATGCAGTCCTTTAATTTCAGAAGTTTTGTGTAGCTCGGGAATCTCTCTGCCTTTATCTACCTTGGGATTCCCCAGATGAGAACAATCTCTCATCAAATGGCAGTGAAATGGCCAGATATAGAAATGCATATTTATATTTTCTGGGAGAGATGGAAGTGCCTAGATACTTCCCCAAACACTTTTACAAGACAGCCATGTGGGAAAACCACAGAGATATTATATCACTAGGATACTAGAATGAGAGCCACAAGGAAAGTCCTGTTGGTTCTGTACCCTTGGCTTATAAGAAAGAATGTAGCCATTAAAGGCTAGAGCAGTGGTTTACACTGAAAACTAAATTTATGTATCTTGGATGCATATGTGTTTTCTATGAGAATTTTTAAAATATGTTTTTATTGATTTCAGGGAGAGGTAGGGAGAGGGAGAGAGAGATAGAAACATCAATGATGAGAGAGAATCATCGATGGCATCCCCTACTGGGGATTAAGCCCACAAACCTGGGCATTTGCCTTGACCAGGAATCAAATAGTGACCTCCTGGTGCATGGGTCGATGCTAAACCACTGAGCCACACTGGCCAGGTCTTTGAGAATGTTTTATATTGGTGTTTTCAGTTTGTCATACACACTTTCTGACGCTCTATCCACTGAGCTAAACCGGCTAGGGCTATACTTGCTCTTGTTGGTACCAAAGTACCAAGTTGTTACTGTCTAATGAAACATTAACAGAAGCATACAATATGGAAACGATGTAGTAGCACCGAGTGTCAGTCGTATGACATCTTGGTGGAATGAAGAAATAAGGGCAAGGAAAACTGTGGGAGAGTAAAGTCACAGCTCAGCAAATGGTGATACAGGATGCCCATCCCAAAAGAACTTGCCCAGTACCTGTCACTACCATGTTCATGTTGCAAGTGATTTTATCTCATCCAAAACATCGCCTGTCACATTCAATAATGATATTCTTTTGATCTGAACTTCTGTCGCCTTCTTGGTGTTTAATTTATAACTGTGTGATTTGGTGGTGGTATGAAAGCTGTAAGCAAGGATATAGATTTGTACTTTTATAATGATTTGTATTATTTAAATAATGTATTTATCATAAAAGGGTTTCCAGGCATCATGGCAGCATGGGAGAAAGGAATTCGTGCAAGTTCCTAACCCCCATTAATGGCATTGTTCTTCAAACTGGAGAATCACCAAGGATATGAGAAGTTGATTATACATTTGGAAAACCTTTCAGGATAGCTAGATTTGGGCTGAGGGGGAGAGGCAGGGAGCCTCAGGGATTTGGGGAAAATCCTAGATCAATATTTGACCAGAGTATTAATAAAGATAAGATTTGAGGAGACACAGAGAGAGAGAGACAGAGAGAGAGACAGAGAGAGAGAAACCAGTGCTAATTGCTGCGGGGCAGTTTGTTCCCCCAGACCCAGCCTATAGTTTACAAAGACTGGGAAGGTTTTACTCTCTCCTTGGATCAGTTGGTCAGAGAGATCTCTGCTCACCATCTGGTCACAGCAGATGCTTGAAAGCAGAAGCTAAGCAGCAATTTATAAAGTCACCGGTACTGCCACCCCCCTCCCCCTCCCCCATTCATCACACGGTTCCCCTTTCCAGCTCCCTTGGGCAGGATTTGCAACCTTGCATTTTCATTCTGTGTAAACGTCCTGTCTCATCGTTTACAGAAACTCCAGCTTTGCCCTAACAACCGCCGTGGCTCACGCAGGGCCTCTTCCCACTGTGACCACAATAAGGTTTCTGCCCCTCCCAGTTAGTTGGTGCTCTCTGGGCAGCTTGTGTTTTATTTATTTATTTGTTTGTTTGTTTGTTTGTTTGTTTATTTTAATCCTCGCCCAAGGAGATTTTTTCCCATTGATTTTTAGAGAGAGTAGAAGGGAGAGGGAGAGACAGAGAGAAACACCGATGTGAGAGAGACACAGCGATTGGTTGTCTCCGGCATGCCCCCAACCAGGGCCGGGAGCCTGCAACCGAGGTATGTGCCCTTGACTGGAATCGAACCCAGAACCCTTCAGTCCACAGGCTGATGCTCTATCCACTGAGCCAAACCAGCTAGGGCGGCAGCTTGTGTTTTAGACCCTATCACAAGTGGATAAAAAAAGACAGACACACAATAAAGATGCTAAGCTGTCCCTGCCTGTCATCTCAGGACTCAGGTCGAAGATGGTAAAAGAGGGGTCCCAATTTATCAGACAACGAAGACTCACTCAGCAAAGAAGCCAGACCTTAAGTCTAAGTCAGACCTGTGTCAATTATATATATACACATTGGTGAATAAAATACATAGCCCCCCCTGGAGCTTACACTCAACTGGAGAAGAGAGATGTTAATCAAATAATTACACAGTAAGTACTAGGAGGAAAATCACAGAATGCATTAAGAATCTTAAAAGAGTCTTGGCCGGTGTGGCTCAGTTGGCTGAGCATTGTCCCATGCACTAGTTCACCAGTTTGGTTCAGGTCAGGGCATGTACCCAGGTGGGCTCCATCCTTGATGGATGTTTCTCTCTCTCTCTCCCTCTCCCTTCCTCGCTCTCAAAAAAATTAATTTAAAAATGTTTTTTAAAAAGACTATTAAGAGAGTGAAATAGGCAGGAGAGACCCAGGAGACTGGGGAGTCTTGGGAGATGTTATTCAAGCCAAGACCCAAGAAGATGAATTAACTGAAGGAAGAAGAGGGAAGGT